CTGAGCAACATAATACTCTTTTATTGAAAAACCATGAGGTCCGTCCCACGGGAAGCAAATGAGGTTGAAGCACATGGCCAGTCTGAAAGAAGATGAAATAAAAATCAGGGCTAAAATAATGTGCGTGGACGTGGCAATGGCAGAGGACGATATAATAATCGTCGTGGTGGTGGTGGTCGTCACAAAAGGGAGAACAATATGGGTTCTCAAAGCAATCCCTCAAGAGGCAATTGTCATCGTTGTGGCATGAAAGGGCATTGGAAGAAAGAATGCCGAGCAGTTGAGCATTTTGTTAGGCTTTATCAAGATTCCTTGAAAAGAAAAGGAAATAAAAATGGTGCATCTTCTTCTAATGCTCGGGTGGAGTCACACTTGACTTATAAAAATGATGCCGAGGCAGGGCCTTCACAAAAATATGATGACAATATTGAAGCAAATTTGGCTTTAAAAGATGATGATTTTGATGACCTTGATGATATTACTCATTTGGAAGTTGAAGACTTCTTTGGAGATCGAAACTAATGTTTGATCATTTGATTGGGGAAAATAATTATGTTGTTTTATTTATGTGCTTTTAATTGTTATGCTTTTCCTTATGTTGTTTTTATATTCAGAAAAAAAAAGTAATTTTATTTTCTTGCATAGTTGTTGATTTTTCATATTTCTTATGATGTACTTTTATTTTATGAAGATAAATAAAATTCCTCAATCTTCAATTGGTTCAAGATGAGTAATGGAGATATGTGTCTTCTTGATAGTGCTACAACTCACACTATTTTAAGAGAAAGGAAATATTTCTCTAATTTGATTATGAAAAAGGCTTATGTTAATACAATTTCTGGTAGTGCAAAATTAATTGAGGGCTCTGGAAGAGTGGCCTTACTACTACCTGGGGGGAATGATATTAAATATTAAAAATGTGTTGTACTGTAGTAAGTCTCAAAGAAACTTATTAAGTTTCAAGGTTATTCGCCAAAATGGCTACCATGTTGAGACTGCCAATGAAGGAAAGGTATGTGCATGAAAAATTACCTGCATTTTCTTCTGGATTGTACCATACAAGTATAAGTATGGTTGAATCACATGCCATAGTAAACAAAGGGTTTACTAATCCTAATGATTTTATCATTTGGCATGACCGGTTGGGCCATCCCGGTTATAATATGATGCGCAAAATTATTGAGAATTCACATGGGCATACTTTGAAGAATCAGAAAATTCTTCAAGCAAAGAAATTCTCTTGTGCTGCTTGTTCTCAAGGAAAGTTGGTT